CACACACACCCTCCCTCCCACTCACACACACTCACAGCCATGGTGCATGGCAGCCCCTATGATCTGAGTGCCCAACAGTGAGAATTATTGAAGGGACCTCATGGCACAGACTCATTAGGGTCCTTCTTCCCTACTCTTTGCATCTCACCCATGCAGAGAAACTCTCTACCTATCCTGGGGACAGCAGCTAAAGACAAAAGACAAAAAAACTCTCCAAGGGTTATGCAGGTGGATTTTACTAAGCAGGACCCCTTAGGTTAATATGAGTCAGCCACTGTGTCTCTGCCCTCAGGATTCTAGACACTCCAAAGATCTGGCTGTCAAGAGGAAGGGACGGGAATGACAAAGAGTCTTTGAAGCAAAATGAAAATAGGAAGGGTTCCCCCCTCTTCTGCCTAAAACAAAACAAAAAAAAATTTTTTTTAACTCGTCCTGTTTGGAAACTCACTAGAGCCTACATCTGTGCTTCACTGAAGGAAACGGGGTGAGAAAAGCAGAAATACACCGTAAAACAGATAAACAAAAAAGAACCCCCAAATTACTCAAATATTATGACTTAAAAATATAATTACTCATCACCCTTCAGAATGTTTTCTTGCCCGTGCAAAGAGTCAGACACTTCCATTTATTAGAGAGAATAAGAATTGCTGCTTCTCTAACCAGTTTCCTGGCTGAACAAGAAACTATGACAATCTCACATGTCAATAAACCCGGACCTATTCCGATGGGTATTAACAGGGCAGTTTCTGATTCTGGTCCTAATTACCACATCGGGGTGTGTGTGTGTGTGCGTGTGTGTGCGCGTGCGCGTGTGTGTGTGTGATGAAACAGCGTGCGGTACTGACCGCACCATAGCACTCAGTCCCAAATCCATCAATTTAGCTTTACAACTCTGTATGCGCCACAAGTTCGTTCGCACCCTCAGAGAGTCCTGCTCACCCGTGAGCTGAAGGGAGTGTACGATCTGTGCACACGCACACTAACAGTGACAAAGCAGCCGTGCACAGTGGGACAGCCAGCGTGAGCACATGGCCCCCCTGGGGCTGTCCCTGTCCCCCACCAGGGGGCCCTCAGCACACCAGCCCGGTGACGTCAGCCCATCATAGGCTGCCTGACTCGCCGGGGAGACCCCCGGTGGAGGAGGGAGTGTGCAATCACCCTGGCTACCCGAGCAGCTTTTCGGAGCAAAAAGCCACATCCAGAGACCCCTATTCTGCTGGATCATTGGGAGTCGTGGAGACTGTCCTTCGTTCCTCTGTCACGCCTTCACGCGTGGGGCCCCGCACGTCACAAAAGTGAATGCCACCGATGGCCACGCCCCGTGGGACGTGGGAACAAGGCGGAGTCCTCCACTCCGGGAGCCCACCTCCTCCTGGGTATGCCCCAGGTAAGCCGCCACAGGAGGAGGGCCAGGTCTCAAGGGACTCTTGAAGAGTGACACAGCCCCTTCCGGAAAGGTGATGACCCGAAAGCAGAAGAAAGGGGTTTCCCTTACATTTTAAGGCAGTTCTGCACTCCTCCTCCTGGCCCACAAGACCCTCCACCCAGCCTCCTTCCTCCCATCGGCCCCCCTCAGCCACAGGACTTTCAGGGCACCCTCTGCCCCACTGGCTTCCTGTCCAGGGGGCCTCTGAGTCCAGCACAACCTGGTCGGCCCTTCCCGTGATCACGATCGCTCCTTCCACCCCATTCAAGCCCTTCCCCCTTGCTCTTCTCTCTCTGACTCACCTGGTCGGGCATGTGTAACGTGATACAGCTGCAAGGGTAGAATTATCAGCAGGTCCCCTTATTTATCATGTCACACACTCCCCTAAGAGTGAAACTCCACGACGGATCTCCAGCCTCTAGAACACTCCCTGGTACACGGTAAGTGCTCAGGAAATACCTCTTGAATAAGGTTGTTGTACGGGGCTGGAGATGGTTGCGTAAGGAAAGGCAGAGAGGTATGTTACAGCCTACAAGGCACACAGGTGTGGTATGGACGGTCCATTAGGTGCAAGGAGGGAGGGAAGTGTAGGAGGAGCAGGGAACCAGGGAGTACTGAGTCTGGTGAGACACCTTTAAAGGGCCACACTGACTTTGTCAGAACCTCCAGGGCACCCATACGAGCAGCGTCCTCCTCCTACAGGGTGTGGACACAGTTTCCAGAGCTCTTTGGCCCCACTGGAGAGGCCTGCCAACTGACTTTGCCAGCATCTTGCTGACCTTGCCCATCTACTGTTTCCTCCTTGACTTGACTTGAGAGGGTGCTTGGTCCCACTTTCACAGCATGAATGTATGTGCCGGCCCTCGTTTCTCCTGACTAACCCCATGCCACCTGCAGCTTCCGTCCTCAGCCTTGGTGCCTGAATCTTTCTTTACCCTTATCCTTCTAGGGTAGACATCATGCCCAGAGCATCAGCTCACAAACCACCATGAAGAGTGCAGAGAGTCAGGAAGAAAGACCTTGACTGGGGAAACATTCACCTGCCCTTCTAGCTCTACTTGACTCACTTGGATGGAGCCGTCAGGGGGGCGGGGGGAGGGTGGCACTGAGATTCTGCAGGATGCACCCTGAGGACCCAAGTGTTCTTGTTTTATTTGAAACTGTTGACCTTCAAAGGCTCTCCTTGAGCTAGGCTTCTGTGAGGAATTCTCCGCTAGGAGGTAACAAAGAGACATCTTCCATTCTTTCTAAGGAAAAAATCTGCAAAACATTATGCTATGACTGAGTCCTTAAATAATCCCTGACATCTGTTTCCCTCCACCGTGTATTTCCTGCCCGGGAATCCTTACGTGTCTTGCTTCGTAAATATCATCACTTGAAAGCTCCGTATTATGATCTGGGGAAACCACTGATGGATTTCAAAGTAATGGCGCATGGTGCTCGGTGGACCCTAGCACCAACGTGGGGGTGTTAATAGGAAAGTGAATCAGGCCCCGATGGGTATGGGACTGCATTCATCACTGATGCTCATGTGTGACTAGTAAGTCCATTTGAAAAAGACAAAACCCTATTAGGTGAATGTCACCGGTGTGCTTTGTGACAAAACCCCTTTTTAAATCTCTATTATTACATCTCTCTCTGGCCACTGAGGGCTGAGTATATTAAATGCTAATAGTGTTTGCAACAGAAAGGATCTGTCTTTATAAAAAGCTGCTTTGATGGTTGTCGCCATTGTTTAGAGCAGCCACGTGGCTGGGGCCCAGACCAACAGTATTTGAGATGTTATTAGAAGAAAGAAAAAGCCTAGTTTCTCTTACTCAGAAACTGTAGGATGCTTAAAATATATTTCACCTTGTGGAATACTGAAATAAATCATCTAAAAGGCAATATGTATAGGTTCAGATTTTAGATTTCCCCCTGGAATAGTGATTAAAAGAAAATCCTTGCTCTTCGTACGAATTTAGTATTTATCATGTGCCACAGGCTTCATACAACAGTCCTGACTGTCACAGAAACTGAGGACAGAGCACTCTGACTGGGGGTCCGGGAGGGAACGTTAAAGCTGGTGTTAAATGTCAAGTTCACGCCGGCCCGGCCTGTGCTGTTTCCAAGGGCCCGTGCGGCCCCTCCCGGGGACAATGCACAAAGAACCAACAGTACGGTTGGTTAAGCAGCTCCTGGCAGGGGTTGGTCTCGCAAGACTGAGTATTATTTTGAAGAGGAGTATTTCGGTCTTATTGATCACCAGCCACATTTGACTTTTAGTCATATTAACAATATCTGCTTAATCAGAAAATCCAGACTTCCTGGGTCCAGACCCCAGCTCCACCTCTCAGTGGCTGTGGATGGCATGTGGCCATTGTACCTCCCTAAGACTCAGTTTTCCCATCTGTAAAATGGGAATGCTCATAGATGTCCTGTGGACATCTTTAACTCAAGTAAAGCATGTTCTATAATGTCTGGCACATAACCATCAGTGAAATAATATTAGCTACTGTTATTTAATTCTGTTTGACAATTATTGTTAGGGATGCAGGAAGGCGGTAAATATGAGTGGAATGGTGTCACTTGTCTGATCAATGCCCTCCGATGGCTTTCCATCTCACTCAGACTGAAAGCCAGAGTCCTGGAAATCACCCATAAGTCTACTGGCTGTTCTGGGGCCTGTCAGATCTCATCTCCTACTATGCATGACTGCACTCACCTCCCTCAGCCACATGACCCTCCCTAGTGTCCTTGGATATGCCAGCTGTGCACTTGCCTCAGGGCCTTTGCACTTGCTGTTCCTTCTTTCTGGAATGTTCTTCACCCAGTTTCCCAGTGGGCTCACTTCCTCACCACCTCCAGGTCTTTCTTCAAATGTCAGCTTTTCTGTGAGTCTTTTCTTAACTGACAGTTCTATTTAAAATTATAACATTTTATCAACTTGTCTCTCCTCACTTGAATTTTTCCCATAGAAAGTTTTACTATCTGCCATGTTGCATAGTAGTGGGAAACCATGGAGTGCTGCCTAGTAGTCTTGAGAACTGGGTTTAGTGTGAGGCTTTCAGAGTGTTAGTTATCTAGTGCTGTGTAACAAATTACCCCAAAACTTTGTAGCTTAAAACAATATATCTTTATCATCTCACAGTTCCCCATGGCTCAAGCAAGACTTTGGAGGCCACTTAGCTAGATGGCTCTGGGCTCAGAGTCTCTACTGAGGCTTCAGTCAAGGGTTTTGTCTTTTTCAAATGGACTTACTAGTCACACATGAGCATCAGTGATGAACGCAGTCCCTTACCCATCGGGGCCTGATTCACTTTCCTACTGTGGTCATCTCGAGGATTTGATTCTAAGATGGTTCACTCACACACCTTGGCCAGCCTCAGTTCCTTGTTGGCCACTGGTGAGAGACCTCTGTTCCTCATCACACAGTCCTCTCTGTAGAGCTGCTTGGGTTTCCTCCTAACATGGTGGCTGCTCATCTCCTGAGAGAGTGATCCCAGAGACACACCAAGGCAGAAGCTACAATGTCTTTAATGACCCAGCATGCACGTCACATACCATCGTTTCTGCCATATTCTGTTGGTTGACACAGACCAATCCTGCCAGAGTGTGGGAGGGGTCTACACAACAGTGTGGATATTACACGGCAGGGATGATTGGAGGCCATCTTGGAGGTTGGCTTCCATAGGGTCACTCTTGTTGGATTCAAAACCTTGCCTCAACAGGGGAAAGTTATTTGATCTTTCTAGGTCTCTGGCCCTCATCCATTAAGTACTAGTGCTAATAACAGTAGTTAATAGTGTTTCTGGGAGGATTAAATAAAATAACATATATTATTTCAAAAACATGTCTGGAACATAGTAAGTAAGCAAAAAATTTAGCTATACTTTTTCAGTATAAGTTGCAGGAACAAAAAGTATTTTACACAGAGAATGACAAAATTAGATTATTCTCTAGAAATCTTGCTCTGGCTGCAGTATTGAGAATGGGTTGGAGGAGCCGACTTAAAGGTAGGGGACCAGGGAGAGGTTATGATGATATAGACCAAGATGGGGACATTAAAATAAATGGAAGTATTACTTAGCCATCAAAAAACAAAACAAAACAAAACAAACCCTAAAATACTACCATTTGCAAAGACATGGATAGAATTAAAGGTCTTATGCTAAATGAAATAAGTCAATCAGAGAAAGACAATTACATGATTTCATTCATATGTGGAATTTAAGAAACAAGATAGAGGATCATAGCAGAAGGGAGGGAAAAATAAAATAAGACAAATCAGAGAGGGAGGCATATAAGAGACTCTTAACTATAGGAAACAAACTGAGGGTTGTTGGAGGGGAGGTCATGGGGGGATGGGGTAACTGGGTGTTGGAGATTAAGGAGGGCACAGGATATAATGAGCATTGGGTGTTATATGCAACTGATGAATCACTAAACTGTACCTCTGAAACAATAATACACTATATTTTAATTAATTGAATTTAAATAAAATAAAAAATAAATAAAAGTGATGGTGAAAATAAAAAAATTAATTAAATAAAATAAATGGAATTAGGGCATTTAAGGGCATTTTAGAAATCACCTTAAATTTATAATATGCACAACATATGTCATCTGTCCCTGACATATCTGGAATTGGTCACTGATCCATTGACCTGGTTAAGTGAAGTTGGACAACACAATTTTCTTTAGAGGAAAGGCATTCTCTTGTTCTACTCTGTTGTGGCTTTGTCCCTATGAGAGTGTTGGGTAGATCGGACTATTTCCAAGTGTTCCTGTGGGAAGAATATATATTCCCATCCAGGGGTGTTGGGCTTGGCCATGTGACTTGACCAATGGCATGTGGGACATGACATATGCATGCTTCTTGCCAGATCTCTTGGTTTTTTTTTCCCCTTCTGCCAAGAAGTCAACATGAAGCTGTTTCCTTAGGCATTTCAGGATGAGGAAGACATGTAGAATGGATGTAGCATGTAAGTAAATGAGAAACAAATCTCTGTAGTTATAAGTCCTACAATGTGAGGGGTTGTTTGTTACACAGCATAACTAGTGATAGCTAAGGAAAACAAGGGAAAACTTATTCCTCTAGCTTTCTATTTCTATGAGAAAACTTTCTCTCTACGAGGTCAGAGGGAGCACACACACAATCTCCCTCTCTCTCTCTCTCTCTCTCTCTCACACACCCACCCACACACACACACACACACTTTCTCTCTCTCTCTCTCTCTCTCTCTCTCTCTCTCTCTATCATTCCCTTTCCCCGGGAAGGCTCATTGTCTAGTCTAACTAGAGCCTGGGGAAAATTGGACATCCCTTGGGAATGTTAGCCACGGGACAGAGCCCCCCCAAGCAACCATAGGCTTTGGTTTCTATGCAGTAAGCAGACCAAACAGGGCCTGCTTCTGTCAGGCTCAATCGGATCTCTGCTCATTTTGTTCTGACTTTTCTGCCTCTGTTTGGTGAATTGGTTTGCATAATGAGGTCTCAAGTTCTAGATTAAGATAGCAATGTTAGAGTTCTCGGACACAGCTTTACAGTAATATTGATGCAATATCCTGATTCCTTGTGTCTGTTCTCAATCAATATAGAGACTGGAAAGAAGGAGGTATGTTAATTAATTAGCATTCTCCTGGAGAACAAAAACCCAGATTTAATTTTTTCAAAAATTATCTTTTTGGTCTCTTAAATTAGGGGTCAAGATGTAAACAAACCTGAGTGCCCCTAACCTCTCCTTACATCTGGAGTCAGGCTGCAAATTGACTTGCCCAAAATGTCTTGACAAGCTTCAGTAAGCTCTGCTGACCTCTGAGTTTCATCACAAAGGACCTCATTTACTAACTGAAAACAGTGCAACATAGTGAAATAGCCTTTGGCAGCTAAAGATATGAGTTGGGATTTCATCCTCATAGGTGACCAGCCTTGTGACCTGACCACATTGCTGATTATTTCAGAGTCTCAGTTTACACAGCTGCATTTACACATCTACATCCCTGGGGCGTTGCAAGTTTTGGACGAGATGATGTTTGTGAATGCACTTGCAGGGAGCCCAGCACAGTGCAGTGCATCGAAGATGGGCACGGTAGAATCTTGGAGAACTGGACTAAATTGTCTTTCCCACCAACTGTTTCACTGTAGGCATGGTACTCTGAGCCCCAGGCTGCTCATCTGTGAAGCTGGAATATTTGTTGAATTGTTGAATTTCATGACGCATTGTATGTAAAACCCAGAGCATAATCAGTGCTTCATGTTAAATCTCTGATCCCTCCTTATGGCCACTGAGGAAGTAAAATGAAGGATGTTTGCTGAAGTGATGGGTGAAAGATTCATAGAATAAGACCAGAAATCACTCTTTAAAAATGGACAATCACATAGACCAGGGTTGGAAAACTACAGCC